TTTATCCTCAGACATCCCACTAGGTAAGGACAAAGGGGAGCAAAAGTCTCCACTGCAGAGAAGGCCTCCCCTTCCCCTTGAATACCCAAGTAAGCTGACTACATAAATTAGATGCTAAATGGATGGTCTGGGGATCTTTGAAAACCCACCACGTTACTTTGTTGCTCCCCTTCTTGTATTGCTTTGCTGTTCCCTACAAAGAGACCTACAGCACTGAAAGCTTTATCAGTGTGTTCTGACCCAGTTACTTCACGTGAAACAGAGATTTCAGTAACTCTTTGAATGGTAGAGTTGGAGATAACAGAAGCAATGGCTGAAGACGTGCAGGGGATCTTCCTTGTTTTCCAGCCTGATTTCAACATTTGCAGGGCCTGTCTAAACCATTCCTGTACTAACAAATTTAAAGTGACACAATCCCTTGAGAGGGTGCAATTACACTTACATCAGTAGAGACTATTCTGCTAGCCCTTGCAGGGAAATCTCCACCTACAAACACAAGGGAGAGCAGCCTTTGATAGGAGACTGGCAACTAGCATGAAAGTCTTGAAAATGATAAGATTCCCAGGGACAGTAGTCATTCTGGGGAAGTGAGGGAGAAGGACAGGCTGTGGGGAGCCCCACAGCTGATCCTCTTCCACAGAGAGTCACTGTAAAGAACAGTTCAAGCTGTAGATGAAGACTGAAATGAGGAATATTAACTTTATTCTGGTTCCAGCAAATTGAAGGCTCTTTACTTCCCAAAAGGAGCTATTTCCATATCTATCTCTCTATAAAAGCCTAGCGTAGACAAGGCAAAAACGTATGTTTCCTCAGTGTAACTAGTCAACCTTAACCCTCTTTCCTCTTCCTCCTCTCCCAGTGCCCCTGCCCCTGACTAGGAACATTAAAGTAAAAGCTGCAGTGCCCTGCAAGACTGCAGACAAAAACTCCCCCAAAGAAACAGCATACCCTGATTGAAGGCTCCCTTCCCCAAAGCTCCCCTTAATGCAACGGGAATGGCTCTTGTGAGGACTCAGCAGCCTGTCATCCTTTCCCTTGCTCCATCCCACATGACGGGTGGTTAGTCATGGCCAGCCGAGATCCCTCCCCGTCTCCTTCCTTTGACACATCTTTGTGCCATCACTCGCATCTGGGTCTCGCCCCTAAACCACACAAGGAGGTTTAACCTGAGGCAAATACAACAAAACAAGCAAGCAAGCAAGCAAACCTGCCTCCCAAGTGCTAGCTACCCGCAGAGGGGTTTCCAGATAAAGTGAAGCCAAAAGGATTCATCTGCAGCAGCCTGTGTGACAAGCTGCCATCAGGAAGCCATTACAGGCTGTGATGTCATTTAGCTGGGCTTTTCAGCAAGGCACTGGGACCTGGACTAAATCTTCCTTATTTTTCCTGCCTATTTAGGTCACTTCCTTCCGGAAGCTGGGCTGATCCACCTGCTGATCAGGGCTGGGGTCTCAAGAGCAATCACAACAGCAAGGTAGGTGACGCAGACAGACTGGGCCATAACTGAGGTGATTTTTTTTTCCTTCTTCTTTTACAAGCCTTGCGTGTCTAGGAGCTTTTATAATCTTAGTCAAATATTAAACTACTGTGTAGTTTAAACCCCCTGAGTAAGCTTGCTGCATACAGCTATTACTGCAGCACTGAGAGCAAAACACTTTTTAGCCCATTAAAGACAAATGTTAAGGATGACTCACCCACCATTTTGGGATCTTCTTAAAAATGCTCCCAAGTTATAAAACCATACACCTTACTTTCCCCTCACGCTAATATGAATAACAACTCCCAGGTGAAGTCATGGGAAATTATTAGGTTAGCAGAAGATGAGGGCTCAGATGGCAATTCTGCACTAGGAGGGCAGGGAACACATCACTGAATTGGCAGGAAAGCTATTGCAACAGAGAGGGGTTTCCAGTAGAAGTCCTCCATCTTGGGACTAATTCAATTAATATTTTTATTACTGAGTCTGTACAGAAGAAACAGGGCGTATTTAGAAACTGTGCTAATGGGACGGTGTGGGGATACATCACTCTTACAGTGATGGGCCTAAAACATCATGTTTAAAGGTTAAACAAACAAGCCAGCTTAAGGAATGCTTGGCCATCTGCCAAGCTTAAGGAATGGGACAAATTTAGGAATACAAAGAGTAAGGTCACATACTTAGGAAATTATCACAAGAATTTTGACTCAGGGCTGATCAGTGAGTGGCAGAGAACAAGACCGACCAAGATCCATAAAGCACGTACTGTTCATTAAATGACTCTGCAGCTATGAACAATACCAGTATGCTCCTAAGATGTATTCAGCAACATATTGCCAGCATGGTGAGAGAAGATTAAAAACTTGGTAATGGTGATCCACTCTCTAAACTACAGCATATGATTGTATAACACATTTAATAAACAATAATTGTAACTAGAACAGATGCAGAAAAAAAGACTACTAGGATGACAGGGGAAATGGAGACTCTACCATAAAAGAAGTGATTGAAAGATCACAGCTTACTTACACTAGCAAAATGAAAACAGAGGTAGGACATGATTTCACTAAAATAAATACACCTGAAGAAAGCAAAGCAAGAGAAGCTTTTGAAATTAAAGGACAATACTGCACAAAAGCAACTAAATTTAAGTTAGCCATGAATATACTTAGGCCGAATAGCAGAAAAGCCAGCAGCAAAATTCTAGCACAGCTTGCAAAGTGATTAAAAGCCCTCCCTGTTAAGGTTCGGCTTGATCAGTTTAGGAAGGGTGTCAGATGACTTTTTTTTTTTTTCTCCCCAAACAAACATAACGCTAGAGATGACAATCCAGGATCCTCCCAGCTCTATATTCGTAGGAGTTAGGTGACCTAGTACAAGCGGAAGAGAAGTCACGTCCTTCGGGTTCACAGAGAACCCTGCATGGGGATTTCCTAAGAAAATACTACTGCGGAGGTAGGTCAGATAATTGCCAGTTAGGCAAAAATGCTGAATGGGACTCATTAGAAGCAGTTCAGCCACTACAGACATCCAAGGGAGTTGGCTGCTGTGTGGCTAGCTGCTCCCCTGAGAAGCAAACTCCTGTTTCAGCAAGCTGCACTGAGCCTCACCAGGCTCCAAACCAAAGACCTGAAACGTTTAACCAGGGAAAAAAAATCTCTTTCTGGGTAAATATAAGAGAGGCCCCCCAGCAGTGCAGAGCAGAAGGAGATGAGCCCAGGCAGTGCTGCCTGGTCATAGTGGCCCGGAGCTGAGACTGGCGGTGCACCTCCCTGGCACAGCAGGGCTATGGGCCAGGACCTACAAGCCTCTCTCCCATCTCAAGATGTCCTACACCAGCTTCACCATCCAGCCCAGGCTGCCCAGCACTAACGGGAACAGGGTACAGCCATGGCACGTGCCTCTGCTCAGGGCCCTGGGGGCAAAGGGTCCCCAGCGGGGCTCTGCTCCTGCCAGAGGCTGGTCTCTGCCAGGCTGCCTGCACTGCTGCATCCCAGCATGGCACCTCCGTTGCACATGGGCTGCTGACTGGGGACTGCGGTCCTCTGTGCTTGCTCCTCACCCTGAACACGTCCCATAGCAGGCTAAGCATCTATCTATCTTCTCTCCAAAGCTTAAAAAAAAAAAAAGAAAAGAAAAGAAAAGGAGGAGGCAGAGAGGATCCTCTCCGCTCACGTGATAACAAAACACGCTGTGTTATCCAGGGCAGCCGTGGGTAAATCCTACCCTGCATTCCTCCAAACTGAAGTCTGCCATTCTACAGCAGGGTCGGAGGGACCTGCAAAAGCTGCATTCGATACAGGGTAGTAGGCTATATCAGTCCCATAGACATGGCTGTCAGTGGTCCCCTATACCTATCCTCAGCAGAGTACAACCACTGACCTTGTTTAAACAGCGACAGAGCAGTCGGAACTGGCAGAGACAGGCAGAGCAACTACTGAAACCTCTAGCTCATGGAGATTTGGGAGTATTTCCAGAAGCCTGGCAAACATTAGGTTAGAAGAAATTTCCAGAATTCTTCCTCTAATGAGTCTTTGTCTTTATTTCTCCCGCACACGTTTAGAAGATGTGCAAAGTAGCGAGACCAGCTCTCTCCTCAACGCTGTTACGTTCTTCAGGCTGATCCCAAAGACCTGACATAGAGATGGGCTCTGAACATGGAGCAGGAGAAACCCACATGACCTCTAGCTAACATTCGTATAGCCAATAAGGAAAACAATTTTGTCCTTCTTCTCTAGAGTTACATACATTTCAGTCTTTCCTTTCCCCTGCTGCCCCACCGTCTGGTTTTCATGGTGTAGGCTGTGCTTGCAGCTCAGATCTCTCCCACACACCCTACTGTAACCAGATCAAAGCAATTTCCTTTTGCAAACATAAGTCAGTACCATAGCCAAATGTGAGCATCAAGCCCTCGAAAGTCATGAGAGGTATTAAAAATCAGTATCCTTGCAACTCTGTGTGCTGATAGTGTTTGTCTATGGCAACTGGAAGGGGAAAACTTGTCAAAGTCTTTAAAATACCTCAGAACTCTCAATAGTCCTATAAGAATACATGAGGCTGGATCGTAAGTACCACAGACAGAAAGAAGCAGCAAGAACTGAAATGCTGGACACTGGAAAGGTCCCCAAAACAGCAAAGCCTGTTGAGGTGCTGTTCAAGGCACAGCTTTTGGAAGATATGCCAATCAACACCATCCCACATTTGCTGCTCTTTCTCAAGTTACGCAATATTTCATTAAAAATAACGTGCAAGCCAATTACAAGCCCTCCCCGCTTTCCTAAAGAGCCAGCAGAGGGACGAGGACAGTTCTCCTGGGAAAAGTCCCTTTAGGACTGTTTGCAGACAAGGGGAGTGGACCACACCGATATCTCTGTAAGCAGGGGAATTTCATCCTGGATCTGCAAACGCAAGCAAGAAGGTAGAAAACATAACCAAGTTACAGCAGGCGGCTTTTGTTTCCCTGTGGCCCCGAACAGCACCATTGCGTGAGCGGCGGGCACACTGCAAACAGACCGTGACCGACCTGCGTGAGATGGAGGAGGAGAGCGGTGAAACGTGGCTAATCCGACCCATTGGGGTTTTTGATTACTACCAGTTCTCGCGACTGCGGCGCGGGGCTCCCGGCACCGGGACAGCCTGCGGGCGTGCTGCCGAGGGCTCTCGCAGGG